TGTTTCTGGTTTATGTTTCAAAACGGACGCAAAATATACCTATATTAATATTTCCTCTTTTTACACAAAGGGTAACATACTATGCTTTTTTGCACTTTGTTTTGTTCTTTCCTTTTGAAGGAGATTGAGTTATCTCTCTTCATTGAATAAAATGGAAAGTTCTTGAACAACACATATGATGGCATTTATGTAGAAATTTAAAAAAAAAACATACCAAACATTGCTACGTATTATCTACATGTTTCTGTGTATGTAAAGGCACACAGAGAGTCCCAAGAGGACACAGAGCAAACTGATCATAGTGGTGTTGTTTCAGGGGCAGGCCGGCCGGGATTAAGGATGATCAAAGTGGACTTTGACTTCCTTTGCAATGTTTTCGTTTTTTACAGGGAGAAAAGATTCATATTCTATGTTACTTTAAAAAAATCAATTTTTAATGCTAGTATAAAAAGCTAAAACAAACAACCCAATAAGTGACCCGCAGATGACGGACATCCAATCTCCAACACCCCGGGTGGAAGGGAGGGGCAAGGCGGGCGGGGGCGGGGCCGGCGGAGGGGGCGGGGCCTCCGGGAGGTGTCACCTGTGTGCTGCTGCTGGAGTCGCTGTGCAGGCGGATGTTCTGGTGGCCGGAGCTGCAGCTCTGGGAGGACTGCGAGAAGGAACAGGAGGGAAAGAGGGTGAGGCTGCAATCCGGCCCTAGGCAGGAGGGACTGCTGGGCTGTGAGCCACTTTCCTGCCTATTCCTGACTTGAACGAGTGTCCTCTCGGGGCCTCAGCTTCTTAGCTATAAAATGAAAGGGGCCGGGGGACCACTTCTTGCTTCCCGGAGCCCCCTCGGAGACCACCTTGGCCTCTGGGCCTCCACCTCCCACCTCCACAACTAGAGCACCCCACCTTGAACTGCTCTGTACTCAAGACTTCTGCCTAATATTTTAGTTCAACTCAGAGTAACTGTTTGTATCAACGGCTCAATTTTTTTACCCGTTTCCTGTATACGTTTCTTTTGCGCTATAACTTTGCAGTCCTTGCCTATTCTGATGCGATGCCTGGCCATGTGCCTTGCTTCAGTCAATGAGAAGGTAGCAAAGTTAACCCAGCAGAGGCTTAGAACACGCTTGTGCATTTCTGCCTTCTCTCTCCAGCATCTGTTCTCACCATGAGTGCGTGCCCAGGTGAGCTTGCCGGGCGATGAGGCCCCTGGAGCACAGCTTGTCATCCCAGACAGGTGACAGAGCCCAGCTGAGATCAACAAACCTTTTAGTTGACCAGCCACGGACAGCTGGTGCCAGAGTGAGCACCCCCGCACCCATCCCGGCTCAGAGCAGAACTGCCCAGCCAACCCACAGACTTGTGGGCGAAAATAAGCGTTGGCTGTTGGAAGTCATTGACTTTTGGGGGTTGTTTGTTATGCAGGGTTATCGTGGCAGTTGGTGACTAATAGAGATTATGGGTGAAGAGAATTAACTTTTTTCTCAGCTCCTGCTTGAGGCTGTTAAATTGGATGGAGGTTCTGGGAGGGCAGAGATGTTGGCCTTGGTCACTGGAATATTCTTGGCATTCTGGGACATTTCCGACAGTACCTGACACATAGTAGGTACTCCATAAGCATTTGTTAAATCAATTAAAGTCAGCCACTGTGCTAGGGCCTTTATAGACACTGTCTTGTTTCAGCTGTATGCAAACCTCCTTGTATACCTGATTATTCCCACCTTACAGATGCAGAAACTGAGGCCCAGAAGAAAAGGTGCTTGCAGGAGACCCCAGAGCTAGGAAATGGTGGGGCTGGAGTTGAACCCAGGTCTGATTCCAGAGTCACCCTCCATCCTCAAAAACAAAGCCAGGGGTGAGACTGTCCCAAGGCCCCAGACTCTTAGCCTTCCCCACTCTTGGAACTGCCTGATGAAGCACGTCCTGGCCTTCGCCACCCCTCCGGCTCCCCGAGGCCACCGCCATCACCTCATTGCTGATAGTGGAGTCCCTGTGCATCATCCGGTGCAGGTGGCTGTCCAGGCTGGCCCCTGAGGAGCATTTGGCCAGGGCTGCAGCGTGGGACTCCCGCTCCCTCTGCCGCACGAT